TTTTTGGTGGCCCAAAAAGCTGAATCCTCCATTGAACTGAACTCAAATCACAGAACGTTTTTGTCTTTATGGTGACGTTCATTCACAAAACAAGCGCAATCATTTATATATATATATTAGTTCTATGGATTTATATAAACATAAAAAAATCGAGCTAGAAATGCATTTCAATATATTTTAAAAATACTTTTTGTAATAACAAACAACTTCTATCTGTGCTGAATACTTTAATTATTAATACAGAAAAAGGCAATAAACTAGTTAAATGTTTTAAAATCATAAAACATTTTAGTAAACACATCTTTTAGATTATTAAATAGATTCTAAATAGCATGATCAATTAAGAAATAATTGTGACTAAAAGTCATAAAAATATACAATATATGCATATTTTCGACTGTACACCAAAGAGTTTACCTTTGTGAAACAGCAGCTGAAGGTGAACTAGTATCTTACTTTTTATTACTTGAACTTTGTATATTAAAGACACACATTTCCACATTTGAATTTTACAAAGATGTATTTTATTTTGAGACAGGACTACATTTGTCAAACTTTTGTCTAGCCCAAGTACAGCAAAAACACCAGCACTGAGGCCTTTTTGCAGCAGTACATTAATAATCAGCTTGCATAAAGTCACAGCTCTGTATCAACCAGCTTAAAATCAAGCATTTATTAAAGGAATACTGAGACAATTCCCTGATTCAAATCCCTTCTATACAAAAACACCAAACACTAGTTAGAAAAGCAAAGCTGCTGACAATCAAATATTTCATTTTAATCTGATCAAAAAGATCAAACAAGCTCAATACTTTATGCATACATTTGCTCAATCAACAAATATTACAGGACAAAAAAAAAGCATTGTGAGCTTGACCGAGGATTATAATACTAATACTCGATTTGATTTGAAACATCACAGATTTCTGCCCTAAAGCGAGTTTCATTCATCGATGCCATAACACTTCATAGTTTCTTGCAATCTGGATCTAAGGCACCTGAAGAGACAAATCAGAATAGCATGCTACTTACTGTATACTGCAGAAATAGTATGCATACTACGCATACGAACACTACATTTGCAATATACAACAGCACACAGCATTTCCAGTGTGACTCAAATAGTATTGAGTACGTAGTATGCTTCTAACAAGTCAACAAGGCAGAGGATGAATTCGATACATTCTGATACGACACATTTACACGTCAAACCACAGAAATGCAAGCATGTGAACTAATAGTTGGAAACACAAAACAAGAATGTAAAAATGCAACATGCAAATGTATTTACTCATTTCTTAAAGTGACATTATGAAGCAGGGAGTGCATATTACAACGGCGATGGACAGAGAACATCTAGCTGGATTTACAAACCATTTGGCTTGACTCGCGTCACAGATCGATATCATCAGTACCTCTATTCTTGACCTGAGACCTGACGGAGCACAGTACAGTATACAGCAGGTGAGGATCCCAAACACCCCGAGAGGAGACGGCCTTCAAAAAATGATCCGAACTTGATTGGTCGACATGGATCAGACTGGTCCAACATCCTGATTTATGGCAACAACAAAAAAAATTATAAAAAGATAATTATGACTTTTTAATCCTGCAATTTGGATTTTTTTTCTCGGTTTTGCGAGTTTGCCTAACATGATTCTGACTTTCTTTTCTGTTTACATATATTTACTTTTTTCCCCTTGAATTCTGAGTTTATATTCGCAATTCGGACTTTTTCTTAGAATTCTGAATTTATATTCTCACAATTTCTGCTTTTTTTCTCAGAATTCTGAATTTGTATCTCGCAATTCTAACTTTTTCCCTCTCAGAATTCTTTTTACTTTTTTTTCTCTGAATTCTGGGTTTGCAGCTTTTTTCTCCGAATTTTGACTTTTTCTCCTTTTAACTGTCAAGCCCCCGCTTTGGAATACAGACCGAAGGTTGGTCTCAAAAAATGTTTACTGGAAAGATCATGGGCTGTACAAAAAAATTTAAATCATAAAATGATAAAAATTTTGGAATCTAAAATTGCTATAAAATCAAAGCCATATGTCTAAGTTACTGTATGTTCCAAATTTGAAGTTGATATCACAAAGTCAAGGTTCCTGTGAGATTTTATTTAGTCGCCATACCAAAAACAGCCACTGGGTGACACACAAACGCCTCACTTTGATGCATTTTCCTCTCACAAATTCATAAATTAGTGACATCACAAAATAACCACCAAATATGGAACCTTGAGACTCTTTTCAACAATGTGTTTGGTCAAGATTAGAAAAAGCTTTGATTATAAAATACTGTAGAAACTTTTGCCCACTAGGGGGAGGAGCCCGCTAAAAGGACTTAAGGTACTATTTCCATGTGAACGCAATTTCTGATTGTTTTCACAGGATGCATTTTGAGTGTTTAAGCTTTCGAATGATATATATATTTTTAAATTTAGGATGATTACTAAAATATGTAATAGGGGGGGAAAAGTAACAAAAAAGTGCACTAGCCAATTCTTTCAGAATTGTCTCAGTTACTCTTTTTATTTATTTTTTATCCCGTGACAGAAACAAGCTTCTATAAAAATGATCACTTATGTCATACGAGTCAAGAGAAAACAATCAGGATGGAGTCCAAATGGACGATTCACCATTAGTAAAACTCATAATGAAATCTTCAGGATAATCAGGCACTCCATTAATCTGTCCGTTTAGGGTGGAAATGCACAGGTCCTCACGCTGAATTAAAAAGGAATGTGGAAAACATGACATGAATTCCCATGCAATTATCGTTCAATGACAAACCTTCCCCCATATTTACATTGCACTGCATAAAACTCTTTCATTTCACAACATCTGCTATATATATATATTAATAAAGATACCTTTGCTTTAGTAGAAAAAGACTAAATTTCAATCATAAAACGAAAGTTATTAGTTTTTAATAAGAGATGTCATTTTTTGGTCAGCTTTTAATTTTATGCAAATGAGAAGCGACATGCTGTGGAATCAACAGCAACCAAGACCTCCAGCAGTTTACTCTCTGTCTGTGTGAGCGCATTTTTAAAACGAATCGCATGCTTTACAAGGTCGCAATCCAAGAAGGGTTTTCCAAGTACTTACTGTGAATCATTACACAGTTTTCAAAAGTATTGCATTCGCTCTCAAAAATTTTAGTTCACTCGTAAAACATTTGCTTTCCCCTTTGCAATGTTTTGCGAGTGAAAACAATACTTTAGCAAAGTTTTTGGGGGGAAGGCAATACTTTAACGAGCGAACGCAAATGTTTCGTGATTTTTGGGGCAATCCAACATTTTTAAGAGTGATCGCGAAGT